GGCCACGGTTTAGGGTTTAGGCCTTTGGGTTCAGGGGTTCAAGGGTTTAGGGCCTAGGGTGTAGGCCTTTGGGTTTAGGGTTCAGGGGTTCAAGGGTTTAGGGCTTTTGCTCCAGCGATTCCCGAGTTGAAGGTCTCTTTGGTGTTTCGTGCTTTTGCAGCTTCGGGAAAGGTCGGGGCAGTTTAGGACTACGGGTTGAAGGGCGCAGGATCCAATAATATTCTCAGTAGTACCAGTAATCATCGCAATCGATGTATGTTTAATGTTAGCAACTGCAAGAACCAGGAGCATCGTTGGTAAGAAAAAGATGTGTGGGGTAATCGTTAGTTATTTGTTTTTAAGTCGTCGCCGCTTTTGCTGACAAGAGCTTCTTTGGCACAGTTCTTGCCACTAGCCCCAAACCCTAGGCTGTGACCTTATTCCTACCTTTGTCGTCACTGTCATCTCTAATTGCTAAACCCTATCTTAGGGGGGGCTCCTTATCATAATTATAGTATCAGGGGCCCCAAAACCCTAAACCCCACGAAGTCTTCCGCCAGGGCGCCGGGACATCCAGGAGGGCGCTGTGCTGGAACCCATGTCACCCTCCTGGCCAGATACCCAGAGAGCCCACTTGAACTAGAGGCTCTGGGGACTTAGTAAGTGGGTAATATGTAGACTTATAAGTACCCTAATAGGGGTCCTAATTGGGGGTTATCATACTTATAACAAGGAATAGACCTTAAATCAGAGTGCCCCATACCCCTTAATTAAGGAAAAGACCTAAAATCATGACAGCGAGCCCAATACCCCGTAACTAAGGAATAGACCTTAAATCATGATCGTAAGCCCACCATACTTTAAGGCATATTGCTGAATTAAGGGGCGTTGGGCTCTCGGGCCCAAGCCCTAAACCCTAAACCCTACACCCTAAACCCTAAACCCTAAACCCTAAACCCTAAACCCATTAAGGAATCTGAGTTTTGGGTTTTCGGGTCTTCGGGCTCAGGGTCTCTTGGAGCCTTAGGGTTGCAGGGTGTACTTGGAGGCCCAGGGCACTTAGTAAGTAGGTTATAAGTAGAGTTATAAGTACCCTAGCTGGAGTTACCCCAATTATAACTCTACTTATAACCGACTTCCTAAGTCCCCCGGTCCTCCAAGTAGGGCCCGGGGCTCAAGGCTTTGGGCTGTGACCGCTTTTGGCTTACTGACGGCTTTAGGGCTTTGGTGGTTTCAGGGCCCCGGTTTCCGGAAAGGCCGGGCGGTTCCCCTTCATGGTTCATGGTTCTTACAACTTTGCCAGGATGTGGTATGCGGCGCAACAGCGATGCGCGCAGCTTTCAAACGAAGGTTTAGGGCTTCTGGTCCTATCAGGCCCACAACGACAAACTCCAAAAGCTCCCCAAATCCACAGCCAACTCTGGACCCTTGGCTGCCGGGATGCTGTAGACCCTTATGTGAACATCACATCCATCATGTTAATATGTAATCGGGTGTATATTACAAACCCGACAAAACCCCAGAAATACGACTAAAACCCAAAGCCCTAAACCGCTACACCCCTAAAAGCCCCCCGAAGCCCGCTGAAGCTCAGACGTAAACCCTAAACCCTAAACCCTAAACCCTAAACCCTATACCCTGTACCCTGAACCCTAAACCCTAAACCCTAAACCCTATATTGGGGACCTAAATAGAGAAGTCCTCAGTGCTTGCAACGGATCTTGCCCCGCTGATCTCCACAGCACTCTTCGGCCTATGCTGTTTTAGGTAGCATTATTATAGGGTTACCCCTTAAAGGGTTTAGGGTTTAGGGTTTAGGGTCATTAGGGGTACCCCTTACAGGGTACCCCTTCTGAACCCTACTTTTGGCTCTCTTAAAAGGGACCTTATTGAGAGGGTCTATTTCTCCAAGGGTCCCCCTCATCCTAGCTCCCATGTTTGGAGCATTGGGGTTTAGGCCTTGGTTACAGTAAGGGTCTAGGGTGTGGGTTTAGGGTTCAGGGTTTAGGGTTTAGGGTTTTTAATCCCTGGTTACAGTAAGGGTCTAGGGTTTGAGGATTTGGCTTCGGATTTCGGGTTTGGGTCTTTAGGGCTGTAGGGTTAGGGGACTTGGATCTGGGGTGTCCGGGATAAGGGCTTTGAAACTTTGGAAGCTTTTCGGGCTTTCGGAGTACCGGGGTGCGCCAGGCATGTAGCACCAGTCTGCAGAGACTCTCTCTCCCTGTGCCGGCTTGCTTTGCCTCTCATGTACACAGCTCGACGCTTGCCTGTTTAATGCTCTTCCTCTGCTCCTTCTTCTTACCTTTTGCGAGCCCCTAGCTCTCTCTGCCCCTCTCTCTTTGCAGTATCGCTTAGTGCACCAGGTCTTTCGCGACGACTTCCCAGAAAACTGAATGCCAAGTTGGCAAGTAGAGCCGCATCCCTCTCATTTGTCCCTGCACTATATCACATATTACATGCTGAATCCTATGTACTACATGTTTTCTTTTATATACGGTATATTAAGTTATATGGCTTTATGTTACATGATATATGCTACAGATATACTTGTTATATATTTCCTATCAGCCCCAGGAGCTCCAAGATAGGAGGAGATGTCATGGTGCGAAAACCCTAAACCCTAAACCCTAAACCCAAAACCCTAAACCCAAAACCCAAAACCCTAAACCCTAAACCCCCTTGCACACTGGAGGTTTAGGGTGTAGAGGCTTCGGCTTGGTGTTGCCGACGCTGCCCTTGAAGAGCCAGTACCGGTCCTACACTTGAGGTATCAACATCATACTGCAAGAACTGCCTCTGCTCTGTGACGTCTGCCCTCATGCATGCTAAGTCTCCCCATTCTGAGCAATGCCTTTGGTCTGGGATATCTCACCAGTTGCATGAAAGCGATTTAGTAACATGTCAGGCCCCAGGAAGCGGACATCTCGAAGGTGGAGGGCTTCATGCATGCATCAGAAACCAAAAGTCTGTTCATGATGGGCAATGCAGACGGGGCTGTGTTGGCACAACAACTCGTGACATCGCCTTAGAGTCTTAAGTCGTTCGCTTATTTTGCTAGAGAGCGGAGATGTTGATGCCACCGTTTGAGTTGCTATTCTGCTATGTGTGTGCGCGTGTGTTTGTGCGTTTATGTGATTGGTTGCTTGTTTGTTTGTTTGCTTGTTTGTTGGTTTGAACGTTGTGTGTATACTTATTTGTTTGTTTGGTGCTGCTGTTGGTACTGTGATTGGAAACCCGGGCGGTGTTATGATCGACATTCCTTCTCCAACCGAGGATGTGTCATGAGAAACAACAACAAAAACAATTGCTATTCAATGCAGCCCTTTACGAGCTGTACTTTAGCAGTAACGCCAGGAATCATAGTTCTGTGCAACATAACCAGCACAAGACTACAAGGTCCTAAAGCACAATTCTGAAACCTGAAAACCCAACCCCCTCCACCCCTAACCCCGTAACCTCAAGCTGCAGCCAAACGTCTCCATCTTCTCCTCCTCTCTGTGCGGCTTGTACATGGAGAGCTTCCGGTGACGAGGAGGTTCTGCTGGCTGCTCGGGAGCAGCGACGGACACCACCTTGGTCCCAACGAAAACCCTAAACCCTAAACCCTGCTGACAAGGAATACATGTTTTGGGAGCTCCACTTTCAGGATCTATTCCCTAAGCCTTAGGCTTTGAGTGTTTCGGGCTTTATAACGTCCCGAGCCTCAAACCAGAAACAAAAATCAAAGGGGATTCCTGAGAGTGCCCAAGCCACCCGTCTTGGAGCTTCATGTTCCACAGGCAACTCGTGGCTGCCGGAGTGAGAAAGCTTGGAGGATGACCGTAAGTTGTCAGGAATGTCCACCCTCCTGCATTAAGGCTTCGGGCTTGATAAGGTGAAGGCATCCAGATTATCTTGCCCGACCCATAGAGCACCGTATAATCTTCCACAAAACTTTCTTTCTTCCTGCCTTGGCCCTGAGGACTCGATGTCCATGCGCGTGGGATACTTCTCAAGCAGACCAGACCACCCGAACGCAGACGGGGATGATGTGAGAAGTTGACCGTCTTTTGATTCTGGCCAGTCTCATCTAACCGTTTCTTAAATCAACTCTTTTCTTTCTCGTTCGTACTGCTCCTCTTCTCAACATTCAGGTTCTTGCCCGCACTCCTTTTCCACCGCCCTCAGGGTCCATGTACCCAAATAGTATATACTTTGCCAAGTAGTCCCTATTTGGGTACTTTGGGCCCAAAGTATATACTATTTGGGCACAGGGACCCTTATACCCTAAACCCTAAACCCTTCAAGCGAACCCTATACACTGTTTGGGCACACGGACCCTGAGGGATGACTATCACTTGGAGGTTCACGGGTAGTTATACATGGGGTTATAAGTAGGGTAACTCTACTTTTAACCCATATTTGGGGACTTATGACCCCACTTCTAACTACGTACTCATGAACCTTCAAGAGTTCTTTGGGGGTGCTTTAGGGCTCTACTTTTAACCCATATCAGGGGACTTCTACCCCCACTTATAGCTGCCCATAACCTCCAAGCAGGTCAGTCCTCTCCGTCAACAGCTTCGCGAAGCTCTGCTGGTTCATCTGCCCGAGACGTCCCGGACAAAAAGCTATGACAAGAGACCACCCATAGGCCCTAAAGCAGTTCCTTTTTGGGTAATCCCAAAAAGGAACTACTATGAAGGCCTATGGGGCCTATGGGCAGAGACGCCTAGTTCAAAAACAAGCCTCAACGTGTTTAGAGTTTGAGGCATGGGGTCCTGACTCTAAAAGCGAGTCTGACTATAGGTTCATGATTCATTACATAGTTAACCCTAAACCCTAAACCCTAAAACCCTAAACCCTCGTACATATGGGTCCGTTGAGGGGTGCTGGGCTCTCGGGGTGCCTCAAGGCTTGATGCCAACACTCCGCTACAAGGCTTATCAGCCTACCTATAGTCTCCATTGTAGTTCCTTTTGGTGGATACCTTATATAATCCTTAATATATAACTGGTTAAACTAAAAAGAGGAACTACGATGGAGACTATAGGTAAACCCCAAGTCAACTCTTCAACTTAGACAGGTGCTGCCGTAAGCCCTGAAACCCTGGAGCCTAAACCCCCAAACCCTCAAAGCCTAAACCCTACAACGCTGAAAGCTAAAAGGCCCGAAAATCCTGAGAGCCCAAACCCCAAACGCGGAGTTCCGAAAGCCCACACCCCAACCCTAAACCCTAAACCCTAAACCCTAAACCCTAAACCCCTAAACCCCTAAACCCCTAAACCCCTAAACCCTAAACCCAAAACCTAAACCCTAAACCCCCTCTTAGTTCTTCGAGCTCCAGCCCCTGACTTCAGATTTCGGCGTCGGCAGACTTCTTGTCTCAGGAGTTGAGACTTTGCCCTTGTTTTAAGGGTTATATATATATATATGTATACGGTTTAGGGTTTAGGGCTTTAGGGTTTTAGGGTTGAGGGTTTTAGGGTTTTAGGCTAAGGCCACACCCCAAACAACCAAACTGCCGACCCCCGGCCTCCCCACAACCCTGATGAGACCCTATGCAAACCCTCTAACCCTTAGCATCAAAATAGCCCAGAAGCCTTATATAATAGGGTCTT